AATTGTCCTCTAACTGATGTTAATCCGCGATCAAACCTAAAACAAATCAAATGCTTACAAACAAAGCTTGAATAGTAATCATTTTCATTAATTGTAAATGAAAAATAAAACAACAGATACGACAGTATCTCCAGATGCTAAAAATAGCAACTCTTATATGTATACATAAGACTTGCTTTTAACATCACTCAAAGATGATCCGCATATTTCATTACTATTTCCTAGGGTTATCACGGTTGCTTCCCAACCATCAGATTTGGGTTCGACTCCCAGCTGTTGCAAGTGGTTGTGAGTCGGTGGTTCAGCGGTAGAGAGCGCTCCAACTAAGCATATGACCAGGAGTTTAATCTTCGGTCGACTCAGTCCTTAGCCTAGCTAAGTCGGCAATAAGGTCAGTAAAGAGGAAATGTTTGGCGTGATGCCAACAACCTAACCCCTTAAAATGAAACTCCAAAGCTCTAGCCTAAAACCCTATGTTCCACCCGGGAAATAAAGGAATAGGACAAAAAAATGAATAATGAGGGTTATTACAGGAATATAGGGTTTTAGAAGCACCTCTTAATAATTACGCTCTGTTTTCTTCAGTCTTCTTAAGTGAGCTTCATGATTGCGTATAGGCTTTCATTTCCACCTCACACGATCTCCTTCATGTCACACTCCGACGCCCAACTATCCTTTTTCCAATCGTGTTCTGCTTGAGAGCCAGCCTGGAATGTGGCAACACACAACGGCCTTTTCAGCGAATTTCCAGTCCATCTGCATCTCCTTGAGCACATTTGTTTGAAGGTAGGTTTCTAATTGGTCCTTTCCGACTGGCCATGTGCTGCCAAACCAGAGAATGTGGTATCTGTTTGACAAAAGTTTTCATTAGCCGGTTGGAAGTGCTTTTGATGACGCATGAAGTAAGTCCTTGAACGACACACAATAACCAGTTTAGCATCATTGTTAAGAATTCCGACCTTATCATTTGTGCTGAGTGCAGAAGATTTCCAGACTGATTTCAGAGTAATGAATGTCTGTCTTGCTTACTGACCTTGGCTGGTTTTGACATCCTCATCTGTATCAACTGCCAGTGGCTGAAACGATGCTTCCTAGAGTAGGCGCAGGAAGTGACCTCTTTCAAATTTCTTCTGCTAGTAGTGATTGGTGCTTATTGCTGCTGGTGGTCAGGTGTCTTAATCATCTCTGTCTTATTCATGTACACTTAAAGTTGTATCCGCGCTTCCTGCTTCTTCTAACAACATTTCGGTTTTCGTCTGTAAGTCCTTGAATTTATGTGACATTAAATATAAGTCATCTAGATCTTCTAAATTCTTCTTATCGGTCCAGTGTATTCCTGTCTTTTCGCTTCCCATGTCCGGTGTTATATATAATGCCGTTCACCACAATTTGGAATATCATCGTGGGTGCTTTGTCTTACTCCTGTCTTCACTTCAAAATCATCGCTGAGTTTTCCGATGTGGATCACTTGACATGTGGCATTGTCATATAGCTGTTGAATGTGGTTGATAAAAATCTGACGTACTGCACTCCAAATCACTTCACAGTTGTGTGAAATTACAGTCACTAAATGATTGAGACTGAAATGCAGCCTGAATAACCCTGTAGGTATAATAAACTTTGACCACTAAAAAAGCTCACCAGCTACGCGATAGGTTCCGCCTCAACCCCTAGCCTACTGACTTGTAAACTTTATTTAGTCCACTAGCCGATAAAAATAATAATTTGCTTTATTCCAAAACAGTACTTGTGATACAAAATGGAATTCTCAGCATTTCACTACAGTATTGCATCCAGTTTGTACACACCGGTAATAAATAAAATTCTACATAGATTAAGGGTAGTCTCAGTTAATTTTGACAACAACATATTGGCATAGCGGTAGCAAAGCCAAAAGTGAACAGAATGTTTGAAGGTGTTAGAAAAGTAGAAACTATTATATTTACTGGCAAAAGCGGCAACAAAAACGTTGAGATATACAGAGTGTGAAAGAACGAAGAAGAATTTTTTAAGTAGAGTTTGTAAGGAAGAGAGAAAAAACAGCACATAACAAAAAAAGAGAAAAGGAAAAGAAAGAAAACGTTGTACCTATAAATGATATGTTTTATTTAGGCTGTAAGCAGCTGATGAGAAGCGAACGAAATAAATGATGGTACCATATTATTCTGCACAAACGACTGCTGTTCTTGCTTTATTCAAACAAATGATATGAGTTGGAAAGACGAGATACAATTGTTCTACTGACTACTTCATAAGTTATAAGTTCCACGCCTAATGCTTTCTTTATCACACAGAATACGAGCCAAGCAGGGTATGGTTGAGTTTTTGTACTTGCCAGTGCGAGCATATAGTTTTCTATATAGGCTTCTGGTCCTGCCTGATGAGATGCAAGGGGATATTTGTGAATGAAGAGGGTGGTGTGAGTTAGATAGAATGGATTTAGCCCATTTTTCATATGAGTCCAAGTGCCTGTCTGTCGACCAGAATATTAACAAGCTGGTTAAGTGGCACATTGCTTACCCTGCTGACAACCTTTAACACCCTACGTAATAAGATATAGTCCTTCTTCAGTAGCCCTGGAAAAACTAAGAGGGAACAATAGAGAATAATGGGGAGGATGCAAGAGTTAACGAATCGTAAGAGTAAGGGTTGGATTATTCGACAAAGAGAGAAGATTGAATTTGAGGCCAGCAATCTCACTATGTAAAAAATATATATGTAACACCAGTACAGTCGGAACTTCAAAGCTAAAGCCTGAAGCCCTATATTCCATCCAGAAGACAAGGATGTGAAAAAAGCATTGAAGAAGTTAAATGCGAATATAAAGTCAATGTCAGTGAGGCTGTGCATTTTCTTGCATTAATACATAAAAAGATGTGGTGATATTGGTCAGATTGTTGCTGCTATATTTTGACTGAATTAGAGTACACGTATATTCTAGTACTTCTTCGCGTTTATATTTGTGTCCTAACGTTGCGATTACTCGACATCCGCAACGTAATTCAAAAGGCACTTGCGAGGTAATACGATAGTGTATTATTGCAGCAATCAAAATTCAAAAATCGAGCGAGTACAAAAAGTATCAATTTTTAACATGCAAGATTTAGAGTAATCAATAAATGAAAGTACAATTACACAATGAAAGTATACTGCGATTATGAGTAATAAAACGGGTCACTACAAGATTATTTACAGAACTAAAAGTGAGGTATAGAAGAACGCAGATACAAAGAACATCCATCAAAAACAAGTGTGCTGCGTGTTTTCACAAATACAATGAGTAACCATAACTTTCAGGACAATGAAATGTGGTTACATCTAGCTCCAATTGTCGTGTGATTGCTATTTACCGGGGGAGAGATACCAACTAAGTTCATAGAAAACAGAATCTAACGAAATTAAGCAGTGAACGACAGAAAAAAGTGTATAACCTCTCTTTCTGTTTCTCATGTTGATAATTTATTTTTATCTTATCTGATGGATAACACTTTATAGATGTAATCATGTCAGTCATCTGGCTGGATGGATAGGCGTCAAGTCTTTACTTCTCAACCCTCATTTGGTTGCTTTGTGTGCCCAGCTGAAATAATTCGTATAACATTTGGTTTGATATTAATATTACTGATGAATTGTACTGTTTAACTGCTTTGTTTGGCAGTGCAAAAAAGAAAGATCTCTTGTGTAACAGACCAATCCATAAAACTTGACTTTTATGCATCGAAGTCATTCGAATGCGTGTAAATATCAGAGAATTTTGAACCTAACGACAATGCTTGTAGTCGGATGGGAATCGATGAATTACTAAGATCACTGGAAACATCTTTCTTCAGTATGGCCAACAAAAAAAACAAAGAAGTATCGGTTACTTTATGACTGTCTGTTAGTTTTGAGAATTACATCTTCACATCGTCCTCTTGCAAATGAAATGCTGTAGTCCATTGATGTGAATTTTCCACTCCAGTGTTAAGATAGTTCTCCTATGCGGGTCAGAGACTTGTCGAGCGGGTCACTGAAAGCATTTACAACAAGCTACTGCAGGCTTTTATCACCATCTATCCCTTCAGCTCCATAATGACGATCAAATGGTCAGAAAGAATAAGCAACAAGAAACGCTGGGAACAAACCAGCCAAGAACCTATTGTTCAACAAATACTTCGAAGGAAATATAGATGGGTCAGATATACACCGAAGAGGTCACTGGGTGATTTCGTGTGCCTGGCCATAGATCGGACGTAAGGTGAACGGGAGACGACTAGTTGACCGTCCAAGTGTAAGATGGTAGAGATGAGAGACTATGGACAATCTTGAGGCCACTTGAAGAAGACTTTAGAGAACAGGATGGAATGGTGATGCCCTGCTGGAGCCCTATATATTCCACTATGAATCCGATGGAAATAATAGTTGTAGTAATAGTAGTAATAATAGCCCACTGATTCCCTCTGATTATACTTTGAGTACTATCAAAATAAAAAAAATTAATACAGGCTTATAGTGATTAGCAATGGAATCGACAGTGAGCATTTCGTCGCATTTCTATAGGTGACGATGAGGTTTTCACTGAGACTGGAACACACCAGAGTATTATTCAACAGCCGTCTCTTGTATAGTGGGTATAAGCTATTATTAGAGGTTAGAAGTTAAGTTGACACCTCTCAAATAGGACCAAAATGAGCATCCTATAGTGGAATTAACGGCTAGTCATCACCAAAACAAAATGACTTAACGTTAGCCGCTGGACATGGCTGGAGCGTGCATACCCTGAACTGGTAACATGTCGACAGAGACATCGGGCATTTCAGTCCAACATAATTTTATCAACGGGAAAAGGTAAAAATTAACTGTAATAGTATACACACAAACACCTCAATGATTTATTGATTTATCATGCTGAAGTATTCATGCAACCTGTTGATTTAACTTTAATTCTTAAAACAAAATTTCATCTTTACATGACAGGTATATTTTTGCTTTACAAAACAATTTCCTTTTATAAATTAAAGGATGGGACGATAGTAAAATAAGGGCATTCTATCCAGAGACAGGCAGATTAATGTACACTGTACAGAATGCGCATAAAAAAGGCGTCACAGCTGTGTGCACCACGTCAACATGCGATCGAATAATCAGTGGCGGTGGAGAAGGTCAAGTACGCGTTTGGGATATTAAAGAAATTCGTCCATCAAACAATCATTTATACGGAAATCGGCATAAGCGGACAACAGATAAAGCCGCTGGTGATGGTTCTGCGGGTATACCGGAGTCGACATTCGCCAGTGTTCTTGTCGCTGCAATGTATGAGCATACAAATGCGGTTTCATGCATTCAAATTAGCAAAGATGATAAATCGTGTGTTTCTGCCTCAGCAGACTCCACTTGTATTATTTGGTGTTTACAGTAAGTGATTTTGATGTAAACATACATATACATATCCATATGTTTTCCTATGCATATTCTGATTCAAGACAATTTAAGTATCTTATAAATATGATAAAGAACCCTTAGACAACATTCACTATCTTCTGCCGACAGTAGGATGACTAATTTCAGTAGTTAAATATAAGACATTTTTTGCCTAAAATTAGCAAAGCATAATCTTCTCTGCAGTTGAGAAACTGAACTTTGTGAAATGATGAAATTATTGTGTAAATTTGGTCCTAAATGACTTCAGCCACCGGGGGAGTGACTAGTTACCAGGATACAGTCTCGTCGACTTAGAGTATTTTTGGATGACATTTTGTTCTTTTACGTGAAAATGCTGACAAACTGCGTAGTCTTGTGAACACGTAGAGCAGAAATCTTCGATTGTTTGACACACCATTCACTTGTTCATGCCAAAAGTAAGATGATGTTGCAGGGCAGTGAACTACACTCGCTTTGTCCTTCTCTATGACTGTGAGGCATGACCGTTGAAAGTGAGAAGGCTAGTTGAGCATAGACGTTTGCGTTTTGTCTCCAGCGTTAAATAGTATAATGTGCTGAGCAACATTGAGATTAGGCGCAGAGACTGAGTTAAGGAAGGGAAATCAATCGATGAGGTTGTGAAGCTACATCGGTTCAAATGTCTACGGCACTTTTTGCACATACTAAGTCGTCGAGTTTCTCAACAAGCAATGTTAGCTGACCCAGAATTAAGTAGAAAAATAGTTGGGGATAGTCAAACGAAAACCTGGAGAGAATCCATGAAGTCTCTGGCAGCTGGTTCGAGGCACCTGGAGAGGTGTAGACTGCTTGATAGGGGTCGCTGAGATGCTGAGAACTCATGGCTGGAGACTATTTGTAGTATGGCTCAAAAATGTTGTCAGTGACATAGGTGCACATTCACTCTTTGTGATTTCTCACATTAATTTAACCCTAATCTTTCTCTGTGTATTACTACCCTTTCTTCCTCAGATTACTGTTCATTATAGTACTTTTTAAATCCCATCCTTCTTTCTTTTGTCTGCTATGCTTGATGTGCTTCACTTCTGTGGAAAGGTCCACTCTGTCATTGTGCAAATGACATGCAGTTAAATAAACGGAAAGTGAGTTTCGACAGATTGTAATTCTAGGTAGTCTGTAGACCGTAAATTATTCCTACGACAGCTTACATTGGCTCGTCACTTCTCCATTCAGAGTGATTAGAATTGGAACGGAAAAAACCTGGCCCAGCTAAGCCAGGATTAATTGGACAGTTACATATGACTTATTTATATGTAGCAGCTGGTCTAAATCCCTGATAATAACTATGAGATGAAGAGGTGGTTAGCGGCTGGCTCTTATAGGTATGTTGTTAGAGATCCTAGCTAGTAATAAAGCAGCTAATGTTTCGAAAATTGTCGCTAGACATCCAGACATCAATCTCATCATCATTCTTGAATTTATGCTTTCAGCCTAATAAATTACTGATATATATACTGAAATAGTTCAAGAATATCAACTATGCGAAATTTTCTACATGTAAAACAACAGTGCTCGCTTATTTTTGTTGTTGTTTTTTTCTCCTCCTCCTCCACAGGACATTCCGAAGAAAACAGATAATTTTTTCGAATACTCTGTTCCGGTGTATTTGTTATCATCCGACAGAGTGTCAAATCATCACTTCTGGAACAGATAGAAAAATAGGCTATTGGGAAGTATACGATGGTTCAATGATACGACAGTTGGATGGTTCACGATCAGGTTCAATTAATGGGATGGATATAACATCTGACGGTGACACATTTGTCACCGGTGGAAATGATAAACTTGTCAAGGTAAGATATATATGTGTGTATATATGAGTATATTAGATAGTTGGAGGCAATCGGCTATAGGAAGCCTTCGACCTAAATTTCATGCTAGTTGGCACTCACCAGTCAGCAAGGCGCATCTGCAACCTTGAAGGAACTTATGTCCCTTTTGAGATTCGAACCCGCATCACCCAGTGCTGCAGTCAGAGACGTTACCACTGAGCTATTTGGGCTCGTGATTGACCTCCTGTAGGACTGTGGTGGGTATTTTCATAGGACACTAGTAACTAGTAACGTCGCACTAGTTACTAGTCTCCAATCAAAATATATGAGTATTCATAAGTAGGTAGCCTTGTTTAATAGTAATCTAAACTCTGTACAGTACGAACAATTACCCCTCCCCCCTGCAGCCAACTACATACACTCAGCAGGCCAACAGTTTCCAGTATTTAATTTAGGATGCTTGATACCTAATCTTCGGTGGTACACATAAATACTGGAACATTAACACACATAGCGAAGGAAATGTAGAGGAGATGGTTGAGTGATACCATATGCTTCAGCAGGACATCTCCACTGCTTCCTATTCTCTGCCGTCGTACCCTTTGGCTGAACTCATGATTACCTACAGTCCCTCATCTCCTGCTTACACGATACACTCATGTCACTCTCAGACACACGACCAATTCGTCGTTTCCCGTTCAACTTCCACTCAAGCTATGAAGTACGATGTCATTCAACAGTCTCCTCAGTGTGTGTGTGTCCTATCCATCTCCATTTTCTTCTGTGTATATTTCTTGAGCAATGGGTTCGTGATGGGTTCATTCCAATGGTTTCTCGTTACTAATTCTTTTCACTGGCCACCTGATCTTCAGTATGGAGCCAGTAAAGGGGGCAGCTGTTGATAGAAGTCTGCATCTGACTGCTGGAAATGCTTTTTGTGACACACCCACCCAGTGTCTCACCCATACAGAGGCACTAACCGATTTAACATTGGTGTTAAAAATCCGACGTATGTTGTTTATTTCGAGTGCAGAAGATATCCAAACTGAAAGTTAAGACAGACCTCCATCACTCTGAATTCAGTTTGGATATCCTCCTGTACCCAAAATAAACAACAAACTTCGGATTTTTAACACCAATGCTAAATCGGTTAGTGCTAGAGCAAAGAAGGATAGTTAGTTCGTCCCTGGCATTGTTTGCGTCAAATAAAATACGTGCCAAATATGATATCGTAGGGTGTTTTTACACTTGGACGTACATGCATAGTCTTTTGAAATGACTTCTTGTATTACCTAAGGAGACACAAGGTGAAAGCTGTGGGTGCTGTGATGGGTGCTCACAGTCTGACAAAATTCCCCTAGCAAATTTGTTATATGAAATTGAGTGCCTATCAATAATGGGGGTGTCAACAACAATGCCCACCGCTTGCCCTACTAACTGATAGTCTTCAGAGTTCTACGAAGTATGACATGGTCCTTTTTAAGCGACCCAGGAAAAAATAAGGGTTAACAATAAAGAAGAATATGCAAGATGCAAGAGTTGACAAACAGTAAGAGGAGGGGTTGAGTTATGCCTGAGTGCCGGAACTTCTTACTGTAAAAAGTCAGGCGGAATATATTTTTTTTAAATCACTAAGACATAGGAAGACCAGGATAGGTCAGAAGAAAGAATTAGAAAGCTTGATAACATACGACCAAAGATTATTGAAACCGGTGAATACTCATAGTATAATCTGAATTGTTTTATGCAAGTAGCCTGATTTCAAATGGTTTTAAACATAGTGAGGTGTAAAAGTTGTTTTCATCCTGGCCCCTAAGGAATGATACGTCAAGAGACGAAATGAAGTGGAAAAAGCGTCAGAATTAGAGATGAATAATGTGCCTCATTTAAGCTTATTGAAGAGACAAGGTCTGGAAAGACTGTAATATGCGTGAAATGATCTCGTAGAAAAATCACGCTTCAATAACTTTTCAGGAAGTTTAGCAGAACATATCCAACTATTACTCTTGACATAGAAGCAGGTACAAGTCATTCCTGCAGCATAATGTTACACTTGACGGGCGTGAACAGCATAATTTGGACCCGTGTAAGCCGTGAATATAGAAAGATACCAACTAGGGCCTTCCTTGTTTCTCTACTGACACTAAGTGATGCCATACAGTAAGTCATATTGATAACGAACATGAAGTCTGAAAGTATAGAAGTGAACTCAATCAACAAGATTGTAATTCTTCATCGATCAACGTGGGTATGAAACAGAACACGCCTAATGAGCCACAGCCTTTCTCAAGAAGTAAGATGAATCCAGAAAAGTTATATAAGTTGTTACACGGAAACATGGAACCAGTTCATGTGAACACTGTGACTGTTGGTCTCAGTTGCTTAAGTGTGTTCAACTAAGTTGTTAGAGTTATCAAGATACTAAGAGTCAGGGATTGTAGATTCTTGGTGAGATAGATCATAGTTGCTTACAATAGAACAGGTTTATTATTTATGGCTAATCACCTCTGAAACTTTTCAATCATCTCCGCCTGATTATTATATCTTCGAATCTTTGTCCATTGTAAATGTATCTGTGTTTCTGTTCATTACGTTTAAGGAAGAGCTGTATCCAAGTATGATGAATTCAACCACTGCACATGTGCACTAAGTTTTACAACAATCTGGCAGTCACAACTAGGTCGAGGTTTTTGCAAATTGTCATAGTGATTTCACATAGCTAGCTGCACATTTTGCTGATTGAGATAGGACAGCTAGTGTGTTGCATAGATTGAGAAATAAAACCAATACAGGAAAACTGGTTGGGCAATGTGAGTGTGAGTTTTGGCAGTCTAGAGAACCACAACCGATGTTCAGTGAGGCATACAGTTTATCATTTTAAAGTAGACGACACATTCATGCCGTATTTGAATAAGCAGCTACTACACCACATTTATGTATTCGCTTTACATAATCCCTTTTTTGTCTCACTGCACCAACCTGCATCACCTCTGGAGGAGATGCTTCATCCGACTGGCTATCGGTAAAAGGATATGTGTTCTGCTCAGCAGTTCACTCCGTTCTCTTTTATGGCTGGCTGTGAGACATGGCCATTGAATGTGGAAGATAGGAAAAGGCTATAGGTATAATAGGGTGAGTAATATTGAAGTTAGGTATCGAGTGTTAGGTAAGGGTGGAAAGTCAGCCTGTGAGGTTGTGAAGCAACAACGGTTGAGATGATTAGGACGTGTGTTACAGAATCCTAACCATCTCCTTCAACGATAGGAAATGTTAGCTCACATGGGATCGATGAGGTTGGAAAAGAGCTAGTGATGGTCAAGCCAAAATATGGAATCAGTACATCAAAGCCTTGACAGTTAGTTTCAGCCAGTCATGTAGACTACCTGACTGGTTGGGTCTGCGGGATTCCAAGAACCAATGGCTGGAGGCGAATGGTGATATGGGTCAAAATCATTTTCAGTGGCAAAGACGCATTCACCATCTGTAATCTGACATATACATGTACCCCCCACACTTTTGCTTATTAGTGCTCTATTGAACCTCTTTTTTCTATCTTTTGTCTTCCTTTGTGCTCTGTATTGAGTGTGGCAACTAGAACTGCTGGTGCACTTCCATGCAAAGTCCTGTTTTGAAACCAGATAGTCATGTGATTCTTGGTGATTTTATTTTTTAAATTACTGGCTGGTAGGGATTTCACTGGCTTCAATTTGGATCACAGACTGATGTTAGTTAGAGAATCATTGAAAAGCCGGTGGCACAGGGGTGGAATGCTCGCTAACCACGCAGGTGGTTCGGGGTTCGATCCCCTGCCGATATACTCCTTTACCCCCCGCCAAGCCAGTACTAAGACTGGTAAAGAGGGAAGATTCTGCGTGAGGCTAGCTACCCCATCCCACTGCTACCGAAACTTCAAGCCTCTGGCTTGAAGTCCTATGTTCCACTGGGAACGTAAAGGATTAAAATGAGAAGAAAAGCCGGGAGTAATGGACAGCCGTTTCGTACTATAGGACTATAGTTTTGGAACCTTGGGTAGTTCATGAATTCACAGGAGTTAGAATTCATGAAGCATTGGATTCCGTTCCACTGGTTGAGTCGTCAACGGGTTGGCCGCATAACTTGGAGGTATTGGGTTCGGTCTCTTCAGGTGGAGTCGTGTGTCTGCACTGCTGAAAAGCTCCAAACTAATAAAACTTAGCTGTTCAGTACTCCGTGATGCTTTCATCTGCTACTCACACTATAATCACGAATTGGTAGGAGTTAAAATTCACTGGCTACCGAGTTGCGTTCGACTATCTCAATGGTCTTCGAGCTTTCATTGTAATCGTAAAGGCATAGCTTTCAAACCAGGTGGGTGCGTACTGCCGATGAGTCTCAGAATAAGACAGAAGAAACAGCCGTTCGGTACCCCTAGCTGGGTTATAATGACAGTATAACTCACATCAATCCGTGGTCAAACATAATACAAATTAAATGCCTTCGAACTAACTCTTGAAAATGTGACTGTGCCACACACTAGTCTCAAGTCCTATGCCATTACTGTCTGCGTGTGTTCAAATGGATGCATGTGGAAATACACTTAGTGGTCAGTAAAAGCAAATAGCACAACCTAAAGCATACGTATTCGAAAAAAGAAAGGCAAACTGTCTTCAAGGAATGTAACCGTAAGGGTTATTCACAGATCACAAGCGCAGGAATTTCATCATCAATAGAGGCGAATCCTTCATAGTATAAGTATTTACATTTTCTGATATAGCATCATCCCCAGATTTAGGAACTGACTAATTTTAACAGCGTTTTATCGGAAAATTAGTGTACCTAGTAAGATGAGTAGATTGTTACTTTTATTTTGGAGGACAGTGTGATAAGTGTTTGGTTTTAACCTAAAGTCCGCTTTGGTTGGATAATCATTAAATACAAGAGAGACGGTTTTGTTTTCTTATGCTTGAACTGTTTAGTAGTAGTACAGCTCTCATCCCCGTAGGCAACTATTCTTTAAAATCTACTATCTACCCAACAGCTCG